GTGAGGGGGGATATGGGGGGGACAGAGGGGGACATGGGAAGGGGACACGGGGAGGGAACATAGGGAAGAGGGACAAGGGGACGTGAGTAGGGGATGGGGAGACATGGAGGTGGACACTGGAGAGTGACAGGGGGTCACGGGGAGGGAACACGGGGGGCAGGGGGACATAAGGGGGGTACACGGGGAGGGGGCGGGGGGACACAGGGGGACACCAGAGGGGGACAAGGGACACTGGGGTGGCACAGGTGACACTGCAAAAGGACAGGTGACAATGAAGTGGCACAGGTGACCCCGGGGGGCCGGGGCACACTCACCTTGACGGGGACGTTTCCCTGTGGCCGTGTGCTCTGCGCTGTCCCCTGGGGTGTCCCCTGGGCTGTCCCCTGGGCTGTCCCCCCCTGCTCGATGACGATGACGCTGAACTGCCCGGCCGAGGGCCCCGGCAGGACGCGGAAGGCGGGCAGGGGCAGGGCCGGGTCCAGCGCCAGGCCCAGCTCCAGCCGCTCCAGCGACACCCGCGGCACCTTCAGGGGGCGTGGGGGGGGGCCCTGGCACCCTCGGGGACGCCTCCTGGGGGGAAAGGGGGGGGTCAGCACCAGGGGAACCCCCCCAGGGGACAAATCCTGGGAGTTGGGGGGGGGGCTGGAAGCATCTGGGGCTTTTGGGATGGGGGAACAAGGGACACGGGGGGACAAGGGGCACCCCAGGGACAGGAGGACAAGGGACAGGGGGGACCCTGGGGAGAGGAGAACAAGGTCTGGGAGAGTTGGGGACAGGGGGACTCCAGAGGGATGTTGGGGACATGGTGACAAGGGCCAGGGGGGTCCTGGGTCCTCGCCAGCCCCTGGCCCAGGGGACAGGATGGGGGGACCCTCACAACCAAGGGCCAGGGACCCTCAAAGGGGGTGACAAGGATGGGACAAGGGGGACAGGTGGCCCTGGACAAAGGTGACAAGGGGGTCCTGGGGGTCCCCGTTCCCCCCAGTTACCGTTTAATGAGCAGCTTCTTAACGAACTTCTCCTCCCGGGGGGAATTCCCAGATTTCCTCCTAGATAATGGGGGGGGGTGTCAGGGGGGCTCCAGGAGCCTCCAAAGTCACCAAATGTCACCAGGGAGGGGGTGACAAGAGACAGGAGGGACTGGAGGGGGTGACAATGGACAGGAGGGTCCCAGGGGAGGTGACAAGGGACAGGAGAGACCGGGAGTGGTGACGAGAGACAGGAGAAACCAGGGGTGACAATGGACAGGAGGGACTGGGTAGAGGTGACAAGTGGCAGGGGCGTCCCAGGGGACGTGACAAAGGACAGGGTGTCCCCCCTCACCTGTCCCCTCCTGTGACGGTGTTTTCGGGGGGCCCGGTGGCTGCTGGGAAATCCCACGTCAGGGAATTCCTGGACCCCCCAGTCCGTGTCCCCTTCCCCTGTGCCCCCTCCATGTCACCCCCCGTGTCCCCAACCTCTGTCACTCCACCCGTGTCCCCCCCGTGCCCCCACCCCCTCATATCCCGTGTCCCCAACCTGTGCCCCCCAACCCATGTCCCCCATGTTCCCCTCTCCCCACATCCCCCCATCTCCCCCCTCCCCCTGTCCCCCTCGTGTTCTCCCATCCCCTGTGCCCTCCCTCCCCCTGTCCCCTCCATGTCCCCCCCATATCCTCACCCAGTTTGGGGGTCTCTGGCGGCGGCTCCAGGTGTGGGGGGGGACAAGTCAGGACATTCCAAGCCCTCGATCCCGGAGGGAAACTGAGGCGGGAGGGGGGGGGCCCAGAGCCTCCCGCCCAATTGGGGGGGACCCCCAGGGGGCCTCCTGTGCCCCCCCTCCAGCCCTGTTCTGGGGGGGCTGAAAGAGCAGCCTGGGGGTCACCTGCCCGTTGCTCACCACCTGGGGGGGGCAGGGGGTTATTTGGGGTGGGGGGGCAGCCAGGGGGGTCCCCAAAACACCCCCGAGACCCCCCAAGTACCTGTGGGGCTGGGGGGGGATCTCGGGGCCTCATGGCAGGGGGGGGGGCTCCCGGAGCGGGGCAGGGGCCACTCTGAGATGATGGTGCCTGGGGGAGAGGGGAGAGGTGTCGGGGGGGTGGGGACACCAGAGACCCCCTGACACCCCCCTTGTCACTTGTCACCCCCCTGGTCCCTCCTGTCCTGTCACCCCCCTGGTCCCTCCTGTCCCCCCCAGTGTCCCCCCTGGTGTCCCCCCACCGAAGTTCTCGGCACTCTTGGTCCAGGCGGGAAGATCCCACTGGAATTTCAGCTCCCCTGGGGGCTCCTCACGCTCCACCGGGACACGGAGGCTCCGCTGGATCTGGGAATGGATCTGGAAGGACATGGGGAGGGAGGGCACAGGTCACAGGGACACCGAGGGGACACGTGTGACAAGGCAGGGACACCCTGGGGACACGTGAGGGGTCTGAGGGTGGGGTTGGGGGGCTTTGGCCCCTCCCCAGCACCCCCGGTGGGGGTGTCACTGCCCACTCCTCTGTCACACCAACAGGTCGCCCAGTGGTCCCCAAATGTCCCCAGGTGCCACCGTGGGGGTCCCTGCCCCTGGGGGGGCTCAGCCTCACCAGTTTGTGGGAGAGCAGCAGGGCAGTGCCCCGGGAGGTGCCCATGGCCCGGGACACGAAGCACATGACGAGCTCGTGGTGCTTCTGCAGCTCTGACAGCGCCCGGAGCCGCCGCTCCAGCTCCTCCTGCCACATCTCCGTCACCTTCTGGGGGGATACCGGGGTCACACAGGGCATGGGGACACTGAGGGGACACCAGGGGACAGCAGGGACAGTGCCTGGAGCTGTGACTCCAGCTCCTCCTGCCACGCCTCCATCACCTTCTCAGGGGACA